TCTAAGGTACATAAGGTAAATAAAGAAACTCGATATCACTACACATTTCAGTCGCGGTGACAACTGCTCGAAAGAACATGAATACAGTGGTAACTGTATATATATATATATATATATATATATATATATATATATATATATATATATTAGGGTGGCCCAAAAAAAAAGAATATTTTTTTTCTTCTCGTCTCTTGTTCAAAATATGTTGGTTTGTCATGTTTTAAGAGCCCTGTCAAAAGATCAGCACCATTAAAATTTTTTTAGGGGTCGCTCAAGATTTTTAAAAATTACCAAAATCGTCAAAAATTGAATTTTTGTTTTATTTTAATTCTTTTTCTCGTCTCGATATTATTTTTTAGGTTGAAAATTATAAAAATTCTGTAAATTTCAAATCAATATTTTGATTTCTAAAGGTCGCTAAAAGTTCGTTGATATTTATATTCAGAGGTTGCTCGAAAACATTCAAAATACTCTACTTTGAAAGTTAAAAAAATCTTGAGCGACCTTTAGAAATTAAAATATCGATTTTAAATTTTTAGAATCATTATTATTTTTAAATTAAAAAATAATATCGGAACAAGAAAAAAAATTAAAATAAAAAAAATCCAATTTTTGACGATTTTGGTAATTTTTAAAAATCTTGAGCGACCCCTAAAAACTTTTTAATGGTGCTGATCTTTTGACAGGGCTCTTAAAACATGACAAACCAACATATTTTCACAAGAGACGAGTAGAAAAAAAATATTCTTTTTTTTTGGGCCACCCTAATATATCCTTATACAATATTGCGTCATTACTTTTTCCTTACCTTATTGCGTCTACTAGAAATAATTTATTGGGTAGAACAATTTGGCAACACTGTAGGACGCAATAAAGTATGTACAAGCCATATAAAATTTAAAATGAAATATATACGTGACGCAATATTATATCCAGATTAAAATGAGTTTTGAAAAAAAAGTGTATATCTTATTTTTGAAAATAAAAAAAATCCTACCAGATTTTTTGGATCAGCGAAAGAAACTACGCCAATATACTCTTCTAAATTTTTGCTAAGTACTGTATTTCTGGTAGACGCAATAAGGTCGCGAAATGTAATGACGCAATATTGTATTACGGATGTATATATATATATATATATATATATATATATATACAGGGTGACCCAGTGCTCTGTGATCGGTCCATATTTTTTTTGCTATTAAAGATATCGATATGAAATTTTTATAGAAGATATGATCGAACTAAACCTATTTTCCAAAATTATTTTGAACAAAATTCCACTTCCGGTTTCACCGGAAGTGACATCAACATTGTTATTTCAAATGGAATACCCTGTATATTTTTTTATTTTTAAATTTTATATGTAATTCCTGATAAAATTTCTATAACATTCCCTATACCTAAACTCAATAGTTTTCGAGATATTAATTTTTTTCGTAAAAATTTGACAGTTGCGCCTTCAACAAAAATAGCCTATAACTTCTTTGTTATTAGGTCTATTCGTATGCGGTTTGGATTTTTGGAATCTTGAAACATTGTTTTAAATATCCCGTGTCAAACTTTGCCATATTTCTAACCAATTACTTGATAAAAATTAGGGTGAATTTGGCAAACTTTAAACGTTAATAACTTTCTTATTTTTAATGGAACGCTATGTATATTTTTGCAGAATTAAATTTCTTATTAAATTATCTTTTGATTGGTATAATCATTCCCTATACCTAAAGTTAATAATAACAAAGATATTTCACAATTTTGTAATAATTTAGGTATCAACACAACTGAAAAATCGACAAGCGAGTTATTTTGACGTATCCATGGATACCAATAACAAAAATTGTTTAAAATCTAATTGTTACACTTTTTCTCGTATTTGTTCACTTAAAATGGATTTTACGCGACAAGAAATGATAAATATGGTTTATTGTATTGGAGAAGCGGATCGAAATGTTCTGCTAGCTAGTAGAATTTATCATCAAAAATATCCAGACTCAAGATTGCCCCGAGTAATTTCATTTCAAAAATTGAGGGATAGATTTGAATTGACGGGTAATATTTCTTACAAGAAACTAGAATTGATTGGACGGAGAATTGATGAAGACCATGAATTAGAAGTTCTTTTGACGATAGAGGAAAATCCTTTTTTGAGTACTCGGGAGATCGCAAGAGAAACTGGTCTATCGCAAAGCAGTGTGAATCGCATAATTTTAAACCATAAATTTCACCCGTACCATATGGAACTTCATCAGGAACTTTATGATAACGATTTTTGGCATCGAGTAGATTTTTCAAATAGAATGCTTGAAATTGTGCGTGCTAATGGCAACTTCTTAAACGGCATTTTATTTTCGGATGAATCTACTTTCAAGAGTAATGGATCTGTTAATAGGCACAATTTGCACTATTATGCGACTCATAACCCCCATTGGCTGAGAACCATGGATCACCAAAATAGGTGGTCATTGAACGTTTGGGGAGGTATTATTGGAGGCCGTGTTGTCGGTCCATTCTTTTTTGACGGTGTCTTGAATGGTGAGAGATACTTGGAATTTCTTCAAGCCGATCTCCCATTGCTTCTCGAAGACGTAGACTTACATACAAGAGCGAACATGTGGATTCAGCATGATGGTGCTCCTGTTCATTATAGCCGTATCGTGCGGCAGTTTTTAAATCAGAGTTACGCTAACCGTTGGATAGGAAGAGGAGGAGCTATTGCTTGGCCAGCTCGCTCCCCAGATCTGACACCCATTGATTTTTTCCTTTGGGGGTATGTAAAGGAAAAAGTTTATAGAGAACGACCAACCACAGCTGAGGATATGATGCAGCGAATAACCGATGCATTTCATTCTATTAACGAGGATATGCTAACCCGCGTGAAGCAATCTTTTCTTCATAGACTGAATGTGTGTGTTCAGCAGAATGGCCGTATATTTGAGCATTTATTATAATTATTAATTAAGTATTTCGGTAAATTAAATTTTTTATTCTGATTTAACTGATTTTTGTGCTTCTATTATAACAATAAATAATAATACAATTCAACGAAAGAAATTATTAATAATTATGAATAAGCATTAATTTCTCTCTGTATAACGTTTAATTGTATTATTTAGAATAACTGGTGGATTATGTGATATGTACTCATTTTTACCAAAATGATAATGTCACACTTGAAACAATTAGATTTTAAACAATTTTTGTTATTGGTATCCATGGATACGTCAAAATAACTCGCTTGTCGATTTCTCAGGTGTGTTGATACCTAAATTATTACAAAATTGTGAAATATCTTTGTTATTATTAATTTTAGGTATAGGGAATGGTTATACCAATCAAAAGGTAATTTAATAAGAAATTTAATTCTGCAAAAATATACATAGCGTTCCATTAAAAATAAGAAAGTTATTAACGTTTAAAGTTTGCCAAATTCACCCTAATTTTTATCAAGTAATTGGTTAGAAATATGGCAAAGTTTGACACGGAATATTTAAAACAATGTTTTAAGATTCCAAAAATCCAAACCGCATACGAATAGACCTAATAACAAAGAAGTTATAGGCTATTTTTGTTGAAGGCGCAACTGTCAAATTTTTACGAAAAAAATTAATATCTCGAAAACTATTGAGTTTAGGTATAGGGAATGTTATGGAAATTTTATCAGGAATTACATATGAAATTTAAAAATCAAAAAATATACAGGGTATTCTATTTGAAATAACAATGTTGATGTCACTTCCGGTGAAACCGGAAATGAAATTTTGTTCAAAATAATTTTGGAAAATAGGTTTAGTTGGATCATATTCTCTATAAAAATTTCATATCGATATCTTTAATAGCAAAAAAAATATGGACCGATCACAGAGCACTGGGTCACCCTGTATATTAGGGTGGTCCATATTTTGAGATATTTTGAATTTTTTTGCTCTCAGGGGTTCAAAGGGTTCGAAATAAATAAAAAAAAAATATTTTCCAAGTTTCAAGTCCCTAACTTAATATTAACCCGTGCCGCATTGTAGTTTAAGTTTCCTATGTAAATAACATGGGATTTTCAGCATTGAATAATTAATTATTTATTCCGGCCAAAGCAACTGTCAAAAAAAATTGAAACCTGGCAAAATTGAACCTTATAATAGTGGCTATTTCTCAGAATTTTTACAGATTTTAAGCTATTATAATTTTAAAGTTTTAACTACATGATTTTCTTAAATTTAATAAAAATCATATAGATGAAACTCTAACAATATCATTGCTAAAAATCCGTTAAAATTCTAACGAATAGCTACTATTATAAGATTAAATTCTGTTTCAAGTTTCAAGTTTCAAATTTTTTGAACAGTTACTTTGGCCGGAATAAATAATTAATTATTCAATGCTGAAAACACCATGTTATTTACATAGGAAACATAAACTGCAATGCGGTACGGGTTAATATTATGTTAGGAACTTGAAACTTGGAAAATATATTTTTTTATTTATTTCGAACCCTTTGAACCCCTGAGAGCAAAAAAAATCAAAATTTCTTAAAAAATGGACCACCCTAATACATATATATAGGGTACCCAAATTAGCATAGCCAGCCGGCTGAGAATTATTTGACCGTCTAGCCCTAGAAATAACTCTTACAGCCGCATGAATAGCTGTATTAGACGCCATTTTATTTTAACTGTTGATTGTATCCTTCATTCGATTTATTTTGAAACGTGTGAACAAAAATTTGGTTTAACTTTAGTTGATCCACTATTGCTCCCCACTCTCACTCATATAGATTTTCCTCTTAGAAGAAAAAACAATTGTTTTTATTTTTTCTTCTAAGACGGTATCGAATTTTTGTTAGCTGTGCGTGCGCAACTTTCCCTGCTAATATTTTACTCTACGCGCCAAAGGAAGTATAACTTCAAAAATCATAAAAAGTGTATTGGTGTAGTAAATTTAATACCTATCTTATTATTATCTGTAATAAAAAATATACTTTTATGTAATACTTTTTATTATTTTAGATCGAAGACAAATGAATATTACCTTATATTTAAACTGAAAGGTGACATTAACATTGATACCCTTAATATACAGATACAAGGTAAAAAATGTCTAAAAATTAAATTTCTCAGTGACAATAAATTTCATATGTGCGTCGATGAAGTGCTGTCAGGACTTTTGTGTAAAAAAATTTATGATACTGAAGAGCCTACTCTTAAAAGTAAGGAATATAATATTTTATTTATTTTTTATTAAGTGTACTGTTTATAGAAATCAGCAGCAGCAGACGCATAACTAAAAGCAATAACGATTCGGTAAGTTTACAGATAAAATATTAAATAGTACAAGGCTAGAAGGTAGTCCAAAATTGCAGTGTTTAGTTTTTAGTTTTTAAATGTACAGGGTGATCCCCTATTTTTAGTACCTACATAACCACACTTTTAAATTTTTTGGGACAAAATAAAAAAGTTAAAGGAGGGCGACATGATAGGGGATCACCCTGTACCTTTTTAGAAATATACAATTTTCGATACAAATTAAAGAAATTTTTCCAAAAAATAAATGTCGATCTAAAAAAAATAAACTTCCAGTACCTAGATAAAATAAATAACTATTAAAGTTTATAGCTTTATAAATCGACTGATTTGTCTAAAGTAAGACATATTTTAGGGAATTTATGACTTGTCCAGTTACTTTCTTATTTTCTTATTTTTTCAGTCCTGCCTAAATTCTATTGGAATAAAAAGTCCCTCAGGCTCTGGTAGCCCTTCTCAGGCTGAAATAATATCAATTACAGATATGACCGAAAATAATTCGATATCAAGCCAACAATACGATACGGCGTTAATATGCGATGTTCACAAAGTATGGGCGTTTAAAAAACAAAATGATTACAAGGAACTCCCAATAACACTTTCAACAAATAAATCTAATAGCAATTCTTATAAAACACCAGACCGAAAAAAATCGAGTGCAAAATACAAGCAGTTTATGGATGAGGAAATAATTTCCATAGAAGAGCATAATAACAATGTAGTTGAGCCTAAGAAATCGATGGGAATGCAGAAAAATATTCGAACAGGAAAAAATGTTGATAATTCATCGGTTTTAAAACAAACTAGGACGTCAAGTGCTAAAAAGTCAAAAACATCAATATGTACTAAAAAATCTGAGGATAATAATAAATTAAAAGAAAGGAAATCAGATTACTCGCAACTATCTATGATTGCTAAAAACTGTAGTTTTGATCGTGACATGCTCTCCTCCTTAGGAGCAAGCATTGCATCTAAAGAGAATAAATCTTGTGCCAAAGATCTTATCGGCGAGCACTTCTCTGAAATACCTCCAGTAAATATACCAAAAGAATCTTTAATCAACGCAGAAGCATCTCCTAAAAGTTTTAAAACAGAAGTGCCAAAAATTTCGTTATCCCAGCCAATTGAATCAAACAAAAAAATAGTAAAGAAAAATCAAAACTTTTTAGAACGTGAGGAGGATAACCTTCGTATTTCAAAAAATAGCAGGGGTAATAATTCAATGGCACCAAGCCAGATATCAAATCCATTAGAAAATGAGCCTAACAATAAATCAGACAGCGAACAAACTCAAATTTCGAAAGTATCCGAAACATCAGCTGTTAAAAACAAAGTGGAAATTTTACAGAACATCTTACTTAATGAATGCAGTGCAAAAAATAATAAAAAAACGCTTCAAGAAATAACTGATAACAATCACGATAATTTTCCTTCTAAGAAAGCCAAGCTAACAGAGATACAGAAACACTTAAATAAAAGCCAATCAACCCAAAATAATAATAAAAAGGCAAATTTATCAGATGAAGATGATGATAACTTGCTTTCCAATTCAGCAAACACATCGCTAATTCAGAAAGACCAAATTTTAATAAGTACCACTAAGAACGTTGAAAAGCTTGAAATAAAGAAAATCAAATTAACACACATAGAAAGGGAAGATTATAAGAGAACACAGCAGTCAATTAAACCTAAGAAATCTAAGAAAGTCAAACTATCAAAAAAACTCTTAAAAATAAAAAATAAAAAATCCGATTTATTAAGTTATGAGGATGATGAATATTCCCCCTCCAAATCATCAAAAATGTCAGAAGATTTAATTAAAACTGTACAAGATACCGAACCCGTTCAAAGGTTAAAAAATAATGATTTTACTTCTAAGATACCCATAAAATCAATTCAGACAAATGTTACAGCATATCCCAGGAAGGGATTGAAAGGTACTAACTCTAGTCAAATATATCAAGATAATTCAATGAAACAAACGCTGCAAAGTAAAATTTCAACTGATGAATTTAAAATAAATCCTAAACAAAGAGCTCAAAAACCAATTGAAGAACTCGCAGATTTGCAAGAACATGAAGCTGTTAAAAACGACGATAATGAATATGCTAAAGCTTTTGTGCAAAGTAATCAAGAAAAAATCATAACCTCAGCTGAAGATCAAGCAGCGGAAGATTTAGATTTAATGGCTCAATTAAGTCAAATACCCCAACAGTTAAATTTATCGAATGAAAAGAATGATATGCCCTTGGTTCAAAAAGAGAAAAAAAATAAAAATATAGATTTGCCAAGGAAAGATGTTTATACATGTACTAAGCAAGACAAACAATTAAAAACAATTCATAAACGAAGAACTCGAAAACCACTTAAAAAACCGGCCAATTTACAAGAACATAAAGCTGTTAAAAAGGACGATGATAAAGTGAAAGAAAAAGAAAAAAACACCTTAGCAAGAGATCAACCAGCGGTATCGAGTAAAGAAAATGAGATGCCCTATATGGATTTATCAAAATCAAAATGTGATGATAATGCGTCTCCTAAGCAAACCAAAGTAACTCCAAATCGAAGATCTCGAAAACTAATTAAAGAACCTGTCGATTTACAAGAACAAGCTAATAAAAAGGACCAAGAAAAAAACAAAACCTCAGCTAAAAATCGAGCAGATGCGGAAAGTCCAGATTTAACGGTTCAACTAAGTCAAATAACAAAAAAATTAAATTCATCGAGTGAAGAGGATGAACTGCCCTTGGCTCAACTTTTTCATAAAATTATAGATTTGCCACGGAAAGATGATTATATTTCTAATAAGCAAGGCAAGCAATCAATAATAACTTTACAACATGAAGCTGTTAAAAAGGACGATGATGAAGATGCTAAAGTTAAAGAAAAAGAAAAAAACAACACATCAGCCAATGATCAACAGGCGGTATCGAGTGAAGATAATGAGATGCCATTAGTTCAAAATATTCTGAACAAGAAAGAAATGAAAATTACAAATTTACCAAGATCAAAATATGATAAGAAAACCAAGCAAACAAAAGAAACTCCCAAGCGAAGATATCGAAAACTACTTAGAGAACTTGCCGATTTACAAGAAGCTGAAAAAAAGGAGGTCGATGAAGATACTAAAGTGGTACGCACCAAAAAAGCTTTTGTGCAAAATAATAAAAAACAAACCAAAACTTCAGCTAAAAATCGAGCAGCAGCGGAAAGTCCAGATTTAACAGTTGAATTAAGTCAAATAACACAAAAATTAAACTCATCAATTGAAGAGGATGAAAGGCACTTGGTTCAACTCATTCAGAAAGAAAACATAATCATAGATTTGCCACTGAAAGACGATCGTATGCAAGACAAACAATCAAAAATAACTCCGGCCAAGGAACAAGAACAAGAGGCTGTTAAAAAGAACGATGCTAAAGTGGAAGAAAAAATCAAAAGCTCAGCTAAAGATCAAGCAGTGAAAAGTCCAGATTTGCCACGGAACGAGGATTATATTTATAATAAGCAAGACAAGCAATCAAAAATAACACCCGCCAAGGAACAAGAACAAGAGGCTGGTAAAAACGATGATAAAGTGGAAGAAGAAATTAAAAGCTCAGCTAATGATCAAGCAGTGGAAAGTCCAGATTTAACGGTTCAATTAAGTCAAGTAACACAAAAATTAACTTCATCAAGTCTAGAGGATGAAATGCCCTTGGTTAAACCCATTCTAAAAAAGAAAGAAATTCAAATCTTGGATTCATTAAATCAAGACGATGATTCTACTTCCCCTAAGCAAGGCCAGGAATCTAAAATAGTTCGAAAACCAGTTAAAAAACTGTCTGATTTAAAAGAAGACCTTGTTAACAGGGACAATGTTGAAGATACTGAAATGGTAATATATACCAAAAAAGCTTTTCTGCAATTCAATGAAGAAAAAAGCAAAACATTAGCTAAAGATCAACCAGCTGAGAATAAGAAACAAATCCAAAAAAATACTGGAAAACCTAAAATTGTTGATAAACCTGGTGTTCTTTTTGCAAGCTACTTGGGTCCTCACTCTGATATTGAGAATCCGATTTCCGAGCACTCAGATATATGTGAAGAAAGGGAGCAAAGTAATTTAGATAACGGTTCTGTTGATAAGACCAATATTGAAGATGTCTTACTTGATAACGAAGATATATTTAATGATGATGAAGATGTGCCTGAAAATCTGTTTGATGAGGTTAATAAATTAGCAACTAACCCAAACAATGTTGCCCCCAAAAGATTGGAACGCAGTAACAATGAAGAACAAAATGTAATTTCGTCATATGAGGGTCTTGTGAAAGTGGATAAGCCTTTACGAACATCCATATTAGAAACATTCAGTGCAATCCAAAACACCAAAGCAAATAAGCCTGTGTATTCAGTAAAATCATCCAGTAAGTTTTTATTTATATATTTTTTACATACTGGCTTAAAAATGTCTTGATTCTCAATAAGGATATAAAAAGGATCGTAAATTATGAGAAATAGTACATTATCGCCAAACATACATTTTTTTTAAACCGCTACAATAATTCACACTAAAGTATATTGAGTATGAGTATAAGGTACGCAAGGCATCGCCTTTCACTGATCTCCTACGGTTATTTTACCCCATTTCAGTTCTCCTAGGTATCCCTAAACTGCACAGCATTATTTGTTTTTGATGGATCCGAATTTCCACCCCGGCTGGTAATTCTCCCTTCAGGGACCCAGACCCAAATGAAATAACGGTTCCCGTCCGGTTCCGAGAGAAATGACAAATTATGGTTCATGTTCAGTTACGGTTCAAAAAAAAATATTTTTTCGGTCCATACGGTTTTTTCGGTTCCAATTTTTGTACCATATATAAATAAGTAAATACCTACTTAAATTATAAAATAAAAAAAAATGTAATTTTTTTTGGCTTGTAATTAAATTACTTTGTCTTTTCTTTTTTTCAAATCAGGTTCTTTAATTTTAGGCTCTTCTTTTTTTTTCTTTTTTTTATTCTCGCTAGCTACCTTTATCTTTTTCTTCTGATCATGTGAATGAAAAACTGGAAAATTCATATTTAAAATAAGTTATCCAAAATTAACAAACTGAACTGTTGGTTCTCACAAATAATTATTCCTCTAAATTTTTTTCTTTTATGTTTGATCTTGCTTGGAGAAGTAAAAATTTGAGACCAGAAAACAGCCTTTCAACGCTTTTATATATGCGAAATGCGAATTGCGAAATTCGAATATTCGCATTTCGCAACTTCTATTTCATATAGATGAGAACTATTTTAGGGACATTGTTTTCTCACTAAGCGATATTTGCTATCGCAATGGTATTTTAGGTACTTAAATAGAAAAGTTAGTTAAAGTGACTATAAAGGTAAAATAAGAAACATTTATGTACCTCAAAAAACTCTTTGTCCTTATTTAAACAGTTTGAATATAACTCAACAAAACAAACACTACGATACAAACGAAATAAACATGGCGTAGGTATGATAAGCAATTGCATTAATTTGCATCACGTCAAATTAGTGCGATTATCGCAAAATATTGGATCAATCTCAAGATTCCCGCCCCTAGATTTCAAATCTTGCGAATTCGCAGGATCTGTCGAAAGTCGCTTCTCCCGCCAAATCAAATGGACCAATGAAAACATTTTTCGCATTTCGCAACTTTATGAAACTGTGTTGTAGGTGTCATATGTATACTAGTGATGGGTCCAACCAGCACATTCTTGTGTGCTAGCACACGTTGCACATCACACTACAGTGTGCGGCACTGTGCGAGTCGTACATTTGTGTGGGGTGGGGGAAAGTGATTCAAATTGAGAATCTCGCACGTTGCACAGCTCAGCACACTGTGCGTGTCGTATCCAACTGTCGGTTTTGGATTTTTAATTGATGTAAAATCCATTTTTATGTTTTTTTATGTTTATTATTAAAGTCGATAAATGCAATTTAAACTTAAACCCTTTTTTGATAAGTGGCAATTGTATTTTAATATAATTATAATATAGACTGTGTTGCCATCTATGGACATTACGATACATTATGGATTGGATATTTTCCAAGATATGCAAACTGTTAATTATATAAAATAATTTCTCTACAACTTGTAAGCACACACTTCCACTGTGTGGAAGTATGTGCTTGTAAGCTATTGTAGTGCCATCTATGTGTTCTGTGCTGAATCATAGAGTCAAAGCCACAGACGTAAAGATTTTTTACTAAAGAGCCATAGGTTAGATAAAGAGCAGTGCTACATATAAATAAAGGTGCCTTTTTTATCTCTGGGTGCTGTGCTGGTAGCACATTTAAAAAGAGTCTTACCAGCTCCGCACACACAAGTGTCGCACATGTGCGACCCATCACTACATCAATACATTATATACATAATACTGAGCAATACTGTAATTAATAAATCCCCACTACAAATGTACCTTCCACTAATGCTAGTCATTTTAATAAATTAGTCTTCAACCTACTCTGGTATTATTTACAGTCGGTAGGATATTTTGTAGTGGGGGTTTATTAATTACAGTGTTGCCTAGTATTATGTATACATATGACACCTTTTTTTTTTTCAATAAAGTTATTTTAATTTACATTTACAATAATTATTTATACAACATTTACAATTGCTATTAACACAGCAGGAACCCTTAACAATACTTGTGCTAGAGTATAATTATAAGATTTATATTATAGCCCGTGCTCAAATATTTTTTGCAAAAACTAATTTTATAGATTTTTTAACGAAACAAAATATATTTTTTAATTTTTGCAAATTGAAATTAAGAAAAAAACTGAAAATAACCTAAAAACCGTTTTAAATTTAAAGCGTTCGGGTTCGGTCTCTAGAGTTAAATTTAAAAATAATATACGTTCGGTTACGGTTCCGGTCCAAAAATAAATACCGGTTACGGTCCGGTTTTCTGTCCAAAAACGGTCCCTTGTGTCGTGGGGACCCACTTAGTACGATCCGGAGTCCCCCTCAACCAGTGATTTTGTAATATTTATTTATTTATTTATTGCTTAAACGGGAAAACCCCATTACAGTATAAACATTACATATAAAGGCTGTGTCTTGAAAAGAAGACAATTACAGTTAATCACTAAATTAAAAATAAGTAACAAATTCTTTAAACAGATAGTTAACATTAATAATAAAAAAAATAACAATTCATTTATCCAATAGTTAACAATAATAATAACAAATACTAATTATAGGTATATCACTAAGTTAACAAATAATATTCAAATAGAGATCACAAGTTAAATTAATTCGATTAAAGCTCTCTTAAAGGAACGAAAAGAACCCCTAAATACATCCAGCCTTTCCTCCCTATTTAAAAAATTCAAAGACCTCTCAAAAAAAAATGTTTACCAAAATTGGTCCTATGATTTCTTATAAAAAATAAATTATTGTGTCTTAGTATTCTTTGTGGTGTAGTAAATTTAATTTGAGAGAGTAGAAATGGACTAGATATTATACCATTTAATAATTTATAAAGAACACAGATGTCGAACATAGTTCGTCTCTTTTCCAAGGAACATAAATCAAAATGAACTAATATATCAGAATAATCATGGTCAGCAATAATATTAAGGTTAAATTTAAAATTACAGTATCTCAAAAACTTGTGTTGAACTCTTTCCAGCAAATCCTTATACACATTGTATTGTGGAGACCAGATAACTGAACAATATTCAAGTTGAGATCTAACCAACCCTACAAATACCGATCTCACTGCATCTATAGAGAGACCTTGACAATTCCTCAATGTAAATCCCAACATTCTGCTAGCTTTCACAACTAGTTGATGTATGTGGTTGGAGAAACTTAAACGAGAGTCAAACAGTATTCCTAGATCCATGGCCTCTTCCCTTCTACACAATTGTTGCCCATTTATGGAATAAAAAGTATTAATTCTCCTTTTTTTCTTGCAAAACGAAATATGAAAACACTTATTGATATTTATAACCCCATTCAATTGGGGTTCATGAGTGGGCTTGGTTGGTTAGTACGCTGCTTGTACCTATCCTTGCTGGTCTTGTAGTACTTCCTGTTGGTCTGTGTCAGTGCCTCTTTCAGAGTCGGATTCTGGAAGTTGGTACAATGCTTGTGTTACTTCTTGTCCGTCTGCGTCTGTGTAACATTTGAAATTATGCAGAAAAATCGGTAACCGCTTTAGAACTGTTTTCCCCCATGTTAGATACTGAATCTTGTCTTCAGTAACGAAGTGTTGACGACCAGGACAAGCCGTTAGCAGTGCGCCTCTGCCTTCGTGCAAATTCAACTCCGCATGCCAAGTACCGATTCATAATATGTAGCCGTTTAGCCATTCGTTATTTTACTAGCTAAAAATGGTAACAGATTTAGACGAATTATTTTACCCCACTGTACGTAATTCCTAATTGTCGTCCGTAGTGCCCTTTATACGGCTGAATTGACTTTTTTGTGTTTAGGTTGCTTCTTAAATGCCTGCTCGTTCAATGTAATTTAAGTAACTGTTGTTTATTGTAGTTTCTTTAATTTTAAACACTTTAATTTTATTGGGGCTGGCCTCTTAAGTTTATGCTTATATAATGTTTTGTGACGTTCTTACTTGATTATTGGTTTATTTATTCTGTTACGCTGTTTTCAGTAATAACTATTGTAAAGGTTTTTGTTGCAATGCGATTAATTAGTAATCGGCTTTTGCAGGCCCTTCCACTTTTGGTTAAACTCGTTTGTTCTTTACATAAGGTGATTCATATTGGCCTGTGCTTAGTCTGCCAGGTATGCTGTCACTTATCACTTAATTACCTCCGTGTCCGTGTACGGTATACCGTATGCCATATATACGAGCCCTAACCACATAATGTTCGGACACTTCATAATTTATACAGAAATTTTTTTCGTGAATACTATCTCAAAATTATTAGAAGTTATGAAAAATTCAGCTTATTTTGGCATATACCCCTCGAAGCGATTTTTATTTTTAAAAAGTTTACCTTTTATTTTTAGCTTTTAAAAAAAGGCTAACTTTTTAACTTTTTTTTGCATGAGTAAAAAAAGTTATAAATGGGCCCATTAAAAAGAGCATAAAATATTATACAAACCCTGAAAATTTGGTAAAAAATAAATAAGTTATAAAAAAGTATAAGTAATTTAAAAATGCTATTTTTAAAGAGTTTTTGCAATTTTCTTAGGAAACGGGAGATTTTGCAGATATATATATCGCTATAACTTTCTTATTATTTATACAATTTTTACCAAATTTTCAGGGTTTGTATAATATTTTATGTTCTTTTTAATGGGCCCATTTATAACTTTTTTTACTCATGCAAAAAAAAGTTAAAAAGTTAGCCTTTTTTTAAAAGCTAAAAATAAAAGGTAAACTTTTTAAAAATAAAAATCGCTTCGAGGGGTATATGCCAAAATAAGCTGAATTTTTCATAACTTCTAATAATTTTGAGATAGTATTCACGAAAAAAATTTCTGTATAAATTATGAAGTGTCCGAACATTATGTGGTTAGGGCTCGTATATATGGTCTTTGTTCACTGTGATTTAATGTTTTCAATAAGACTTCGGAGAACAGGTAAAGTGATTTCACCTGCACACGTTGTAAATCTTGGCATTAATTTCGCACATTATTCTCCTTGAACTACACTGTATATGAACGATTTTTTTTCTTTAAGACTTAGGTCACTTAAGGGGTTACAAAAAATCGATTTTTTTATTAAATATTCTTACAACATATACTTTTAAGAATATGTACTTAAAACTTCATCAAGATCGGAGCACTAGAACTTATGTTATAGCAATTTATAGCGCACTACCTCACGAAAATTTAAAGGCAAATTAAACGAACTTAAATCTTTAAACGCGTTTATCTCGAAATCGTATTTTTTGAAAAGTGCTGTTGCCGTGAGCACGATTTCTCAAAAACCAATTTACCGATCGATCTGAAATTTGGAAGTGTTGTTCCTTATTATAATAGCTCCTTCGTGAAGGGATTTTTATTAGGACGAAAATTTATATTTTTTTCGGCCGGAAAACTCAATTTTTGTACCCTCGAAATTAGTTTTTTTGGTAAAATCACCGTGAACATTTTTTTTTGCGAAACCCTTCGTTTACGAAGGGGGTGATACTATGTACTAGTATGGTTTTTTTATTATTAAGATCTGTTGGGCGGTTTTAGATATTTCATGCTCACCGCAAAGGCTTGAAAAAAAGGCGTTTCGGGACATGGACCGTATTTTCCACAATTTTCCATATTTTTGCATACTTTTTTTTTATAAATACCCTATTCGATGCTTCGTTCGTTTCAATATAATTATTATTAAATACCAAAAAAATACACCAAAAACCGTTAAATTTTACGAGCTCATATGTATGTAACCCCTTAAGAGAGTTCGAGTTCGTTCACATCTGTTTGACTGCCCGTCTGTATTGTACAAGACCAATAATTATAAGTTTATAATTCACACTAAAGTATATTATGTCAGTAATGTAGTAGCCCAGCCAAATTAGGCGAAAAATCAAACAAAATCCTACCCAAGATTTTTCTTCGGAATCTTGTTTATATGAGCACTAGTGATAATATCCCAAAAGTCCTAAGGCGTTGCCAAATATCGAAGGTCAAAGGTCACCAAATTCATTTCTTGATTTCTAGATAATTATCTCGTAAACTGTTGGTTTTACGTGCAATGATTTTGTTTTTTACATACATAATTCACGTACGACTAATTATAATAATTAATATTATTATATTATTATATGTTCTCATATCTAGAGAACTATAATAATAATAATTAGTCCTACGTGAATTATGTATAAAACAAAATGCTCGTAAAGCCAACAGTTACGATAGTTTATGAGATAATCGACCTTTGACCTTCGGTATTTGGCAACGCCAACATGATTTCGGTTGGGACTTTTGAGAGATTATTACTAGTGCCTATATAAACAGGATTCCGGAGAAACATCTTAGCTAGGATTTTTACCAAAGTAAAATGGAGTTGTTTCGGAAGCGACAAATACCGCGCCCCTCCTTTTCGTTTGTATTCTTATATTAATTATAAGTTTTTTCTAGATTGGAAAGAATGAAGCGTAAAATATAGGCATATTTGTAGCAAGTTGAAAAAAAACAAAACATATATGCATGTCTTTTTTAAATATTTTAAAATTGTATTCCACTTTTCTTTTCAAACTTACTGATTTTTTAGAAACAACAAAAAGAATATTATATGATGGTGAGGAAACGCATTTGGAAGAATTAAAATTGGAAGTTTCAAAGATGGATATGGAGAAAAGGGAAAACATAAAAATAAATAAGACAGTACCACAGTATCATAAGAAAAAGTTAAACAATAAAAATAATACTGCACTTCATGAACTATCTTATAAAGAGAAGTTAACCACAGTCAATAAGACTATTAAAAAAATAGGAAGAAAACGAAAATATAGAGCTATAAAAAATATACCTTCAGATTTTGAATCAGATGCTGAAAATAACATAAGTTATGATGATATACTATCTTCAGTTATTCGTCCAAAAAAGACCAAGCTTAGAAATAGGAATAGTAATGTTGAAAATATGGATTTGTCAGACAATGAAGAAGCCAGGGCTGCTCTGGATGACTTTTTTCTACATGTTAAAAATAAATCTAAAATGTTTTTAAAGTTAACTAAAAATTCACAACAAATTACTGCTCTTAAACAGTTAAAAAACACGGCACATAAATATTTAAGTAAATCGGAAATTTAAGTAACTGTTAATGCCTAGAATTGTTGATGTATTATTTATTTATTATTGTTAAGTGTAAATTATATATTTTTTTGAGTAAATAATAATAATAATTAATGTATTTTATTGACTTTTATTTAACATAAAGTACCGTAAAACGGGGCTACTTGAAAATACCGGGATTAGTTGAAAATAAACGCAGAGTTTTGCATAAGCAGGTGCTACCTCCAATAGGGTTATTCTAGAAGTATAATTTATTTTCAGTCAGTATAGTAGACCACCAGGAAATTATTTATATGGCATGTGTTATTTTTGAATTTAGTTTTGCGAGAAGAATTCGGCAAAAACAAGGTAAAAAACATGTTTTTTTATTGCCTCAATACTTCTTATTGTTCAAGTAGGTACCTTGATAACTATCAGTAAGTCGGGGTATTTTTTTTCTAATGCTATTTTATATGCTTGACACAAACTTAACGTTAAATCCGACCTATCAATCATCCCTAAGCCAGTGCCGCCAATTTTATTTTTTGATATCATTTTTGGGGCTACGTGAAAATGGTGCGAAATTATCAAAAGAAGTTGGGAAGCAGGCCATATCGAAATTATAGTCAAGAGGCTTTGGATAATGCTGTGTCAAGGTACGAACCGGGTAATTTAATGCAGTTAAGTGAAGAGTACAATATTACGTTGTATAGAAAAATACAAAACCTACACACACAGAAGCCTGGACATAGTACTGCGTTTTTTTAAATTTATTTTCATGAAGCCCCTGTATTGGCCTTACATGAAAATTAACGGCTTTTAAAGGCATATTTTCAAGTAGCCCCATCGGGGGGCTACTTGAAAATAACTACTTTATATGTGTTATGTTATAAGTGGTGGGAGCAAAAATTTTATTCAATGTGTGAAGAAGAGCTTCCCCAAACCCTAAAGTTAAACAAAGTACCTAATTTTGATTTAAAAAAAAACTGTAAGGTTTTACCGAGACGGTGTCAAATTTACAAAAAGTTTTATCAAGTAGCCCCGTTTTACGGTATATCGACAAAGTTATCATACTTACGTCACGTGAATTCTTAAATGGACTTTGATTTTATCATTCTAAATTGTCAAGTCTGCAGGATTTGTAGGTTAGGTTTTGACAGTGACAATTAGGGTTTTTAAAAAAATGGCTCAATGGCCCCTCAAATGCAAAATTGGACCCTCCATTTTAAACTCGGATCTTTCGATGCTGTACGAAGAATCACAAAAACTGTTAGATAATGGGGCCGATTATCTGCATTTGGATGTTATGGACGGAAACTTTGTTCCTAACCTTACTTTCGGCCACCCAGTAGTAAAATGTTTAAGAAACAAGCTTAGAAAAGCCTTTTTTGAGACTCACATGATGGTCGCTGAACCAGAAAAGGTAACAATCCTAGACCAAATTCTAGGGGAGTAATAACCAAGTGTAAGTATCATAAAAAAAAATAATATAATTGTTTTTAGTGGATTGAGGGTATGGCCGACGCAAATGTAAACTTATACACATTCCATATTGAACCTGTAATGGATGAAGTTATTTCACTCTGCCGTAAGGTAAAAGAAGCAGGCATGCAGGTTGGGCTTGCTTTAAAACCTGGAACTGGTATCGAGGCTGTTAGACAATACATAGAACATGCTGATATAATTTTAATTATGACTGTTGAGCCTGGTTTTGGTGGACAACAATTTATGTCAGATATGATGCCTAAAGTACAATGGTTAAGACATAATTATCCAAATTTGGATATTGAAGTTGATGGGGGTGTTGGTTTAAATACAATAAATGCATGTGCAGAGGTAATTTTATTTGTTATTGTTTGATTTTTTATTAAAATATATTTTTAAGGCTGGAGCAAACATGATAGTTTCTGGAACTGCCATAATAAAATCAGTTGACCAAAAGGCAGTAATAGCCAGTTTAAGGGAAACTGTAGAAAGCTCAATTCATAAATGCAATGTTTAGCCTAAAACAATGTGATTTTTGTAGATAATTTAAAAAGCATTCCTTTTTATAATCATGAAACAAGGTTGTTACAATTTTTTTTTAATGTTAACTTTTAATATTGAATTTTTTATCAATGTTGGTTATTTTATATAATGGTTTTGAAAGAAGCTTGACTGCAAAGTCTTTCCTTGACTCTTTAGTGGTGATGTACTTTATGGATGACCTCTTATTATGTTTCCTATTTGCAATAAAAAATAATAGAGAAATAAGACTTACTACAGGCAACTAGGACTTTGTAACATGTATATTAAACGAATTTATTAATTATAAACCATTGTGCATATTTAAACTAATAAACATGTATCAATGTTTCTTTCTATTTATACTTAATTTCTTTTAGGATTGAATAAGCAGGGTGTTTTACATTCGTGGTTCATTAGAAGTTTCTGGGAAGTGGAAAAAGATATTGATTTAAAATTTTAAAAGCGCTTATAATCCACTTAAGTCTATTTTTCTAAAATATATTAAACAAAATGCCACTTCCGGTTTAACCGGAAGTGACATTAACTTTGTTATTTTAAATGGAACTTCCCATATACTTTTACATTTTTAAATTCTACATAAAATTCTGAGTAAAATTACTAAACCACAAATGCGCGTCGATCAATAATAGCCTATAGCTTTTTTGTTATTAGGTTTGCAAATATGAGGGTGGAATTTTGCGAATCCTTAAACATTGTTTAAAAGATTTCCTATCAATTGTTTTTAACATTTTTTAACAGGCAAAAAGTTAATAACTTTTTTATTTTAAATGTAACACTCAGTATGTTGTTACATAATTAAATAGTAAATTAATAAACCTTATTTTGATTAATATAACTATTCTCTAATAAGTATTAATTTAAGAGATATTTAAGAATTTCTAAAATTTGAAATATTTTAATAACAAAATGAATGCGTAACTGTGACAATTTAATAAACCATAAATATTTTAGTCAAGAAGATCTTCTTGGCTAAAATATTGTTGGTTGCTCTAGAGCAACATCTAATGTAGAAGAAACTTTAAGATATAAAAAATGCTTGAATGTAAATGGAGGACACTTTAAACATTTATTAATAAATTATAATTAGTAATATAGTATATAGTAATAAAAATTGTTAATTAAAATATTGTTGGTTTATTAAATTGTTACAGAAGCATTATTTTTGTTAATTAATTTTTTTATATTTTATTGTCTCCAATGAGCTAGTGCTTTATCTAGTCGACATCCTACAGCTTTGTTGAGTTTTTTCAAAATTAGCAAATACTAGTATTAACAGCTGTTTGTGTAACTCTTAAATTTTTAAAATGTTTGGCTTGTCAATGTCAAATTTTAAACAATGACGTCATCTGTACAGATTACGTGGTAACCATAGATACCGTACAAAAGCGTTAAGTAGGTACATTTTGACACATCACTACAACGTCATACAAAAATAAAAATGATAATCAATTTGATATCAAATATCACTTAAGTCGTTTTTTCGCGTAAATACCATGAAATACTATGGTTATTAAACTTAAAGCCGAGTTCATATAGATGCGAATTTACGAATTTGCGAAATACGAATATTCGCATTTCGCAGCTCCTATTCATATAGATGCGAATTGTCGGAACCATTTTAGGGACATTGTTTTCTCACTAGGCGATATTTGCCATGGTATTTTAGGGACATTATTTTCTCTCCAGGTGATATTTGCCATACTTGGTTAACATTTTCTATAGGTAGGTACTTAAATAGTAAAGTTACTTCTAAATAAATATGCTACTATAAGGTAAAAAAATAAGGGTACGCTTCGTGACACCCAAACACGAGAGATCTAAACTCGATGGGTCTAAAATTTAAAAGCGCGATGGGTCTAAAATGTGTGGCAACGTTGTTTTTGAAACGTCAAAGGCGTAAGGCTTCGTTCACATTTTTCATAAAAAATCTTATTTTCTTAAATGAGATTCACCTACTTTCGTTCAAACAAGATTTCGGTCAAAGTAAAGTAGGTACTTCTGAAACAGATATGCAAAATTAAAAATTGTGGTGGAAAAGGTCCTTCAGGGATTATTTTAAATGAAAGGGTGGATTCCATTGCCAAAGCAGCATCAAACAAAAATACAGATAAATATAAAATCCCCTTTTTTAGAATATCGGAAAATACAAATATACAATAATAATTATTGGAATAAATTGCAAGATATACACATACCTATTGTGAGTTACATTTAAGTGTATCTTGGTGTTATCCAGGACTCATGGAGAGTTATTTTTGTATGGAGTAGGTATGCTTTAGTTTTTTGCTTTGCCCTGTATAGATTGGATTATATATTATGAAAGGATCCTCGAGTTATAACAAGTTTTATGACAATTTTACCAAGGAAATTGTTTAGAAGGTATACCTTTATAAAGATTGATATAAATGTTAATGTTTAATGTACCTATATATACCTATATAGGTATAGGTACCTATATAGGTATGTATGTACAGCTGTATTCATTAAAAAAGCGTACAAGAATTAGAATGAGAGAAAACTGTCAACATTATTGCGTAAAACCGGCTTTCCACTGACTTAAGTCACTATAACTGACAGTAGAAAATAAAAATGCCTCGTCAATTAAAAAGGCTCAAATAGTATCAAGAATCGAAGAAGAATGGTCAATTCGTACTGTGGTATAATGGAAATAAAAAATCTATATTAAAAATTAAGCAACGCTGGGAACAGGAAGATTTACTAAACCAAAAAGTTGGTTCAGGTCGTCCCAAAATGTCGACCCCTGAACAGGATGCCTCTTTTTTTTGGATATCTGAGGATTTATGGGAAACTATACAACTATACTATACTATACTATATATAGGTATACCTAATATACTGCTGGGAAGATATTAATATTGTATTAAATTTAATTCAGTTCATCCCAATTAGATTGGCTCAACTAATAGAAAAACAGGGATGCATGACTAAATATTAAATTTTTTTTAATGTTTGTTTTATTTCATTTCTAAAAGGTAATAATTTTTGTAATATTATTTAATTAACCTACGACGTCAATGCTCTTTATAACCTATAGTAATTATTTTAATGACTTATGTCAGTGATAAGCCGGTTTTAAGCAATAATATTATTTTGACAGTTTTCTCTCATTCTAATTCTTGTACGCTTTTTTATTGAATACAACTGTATAACTGGTGACATGAAAAAGTTTTACTTTAACAGTGACATGGAGTCTCTCAGACTCGCTGGATTATTATAATATTCTGACTAGGAAAACGAGGAGCCTCTAGGCAAAAATCCAAAAAATTACCTCCTCCACCAACTTAGATATCCTCTTAGCTTGTTGAAGAAAAGTGCAGTAATTTGGAAGGTGGTATAATAATATTTATAATGTATTTAATTAATGTTGTTCTGTTTATTACTTTTATGTCAATACTAATTAAATTTCACTGTTACAGATTTCCAAGCAGGCAGTAATTTTTCTAAAAAGAGCCCTATTCCATCAACTTCGAAAAGCGCCCTAGAATTAATAAAGAACAATCGACTTGTCTAATCGTCCGATCATCGGTGAATAAAATATATTAATCGTCCGATCATCGGATGAATAAAATATATTAATCGTCCGATCATCGGATGAATAAAATATATTAATCGTCCGGTAACGTTAGTTACGTCATAATTATAATCCGCTTTTGTTCACCGACCGTTTAATATTTGACAACAAGCTAGATAGCTTATATGGTAGGGCGTTCGCTTGTCATGCGAGAGGTCCCGGGTTCGATACTAAGAAGCTGTCGAATTTTTTTTATTTTTTTATTTCATAAATTTGTTGTTTCTTTGTTAAACAGTTTTCGGTTGGGTTGGGTTGGTTTGTTTTAGTTTTATCGTAACATAAAATCTACTAGAAGTTGTCGAACTTTTTTTATTTCATAAATTTGTTGTTGCTTTGTTAAAAAGTGTTTTATTTTTATCGTAACATAAATTTGCCCATTTTAGTTGGGTTTTTTGTTCAATGGGGCGGGGGGGGGCCAATGGGGCGGGGTCGGTTGGGTTGTGTTGTTGAGTTTGAGTCCGATAATCTTTTTATTATTTATTTATGTTATTACCGGACGATTAATATATTTTATTCATCCGATAATCGGACGATTAATATATTTTATTCGTCCGATTATACGGACGACTAGCAATCGGATGATTAATATATTTTATTCGTCCGATTATACGGACGATTAATATATTTTATTCGTCCGATTATACGGACGACTAGCAACGGCCAAGAACAATATAGGTAAGTTTTCTGAGCTGTTCTTAAAACTGTTAGTGTACCTAATGAATGCATTTTAGGAGAAACATTCAAAACAGGTACTAGTTGTTGTTGCAATCCACAACTGTTATATAATATATATTATATACAGACACTGTTGTTAGAAATTAATTCCAAAGTGGGAAAATGTGGAGCAGAATATCGTAAGGAAGTTTTTGAAAACTTCCTTTCAGATTCTGAAAATTATTCAGCATTGGTAATTTCTTTTTTATCTATTATCCTAGAATTTTCATATAGTTACATTAGTGAGTATAGTTTCTTATTCTGATTTATAGGTTCAGTTTTTTCACAACTTGGAATCTATGAATTTATAAGACGATGTCTCGCACCCATAATTGAATAGGTCAATGCAGAAACTGAATATGTCCAGTTTTTAGGGATATTGAGTTAAACATGGATTTACTATAAGTAAAGGGTGCCCGATCGAATGGCGTAGAAATTTCACATGTCACGGTAATCTAGATTATACAAAGGCGTTAATATAGTAGAGAAACTGAATATGTCCAGAACATGTCCACTTTCTGTTCAGTTTTTCTTATTTATCTCAAAACTAGATAGGTAGGACATATTCAGTTTCTGCATTGACGTATTCAATTACAGATAGTCTAGCTGAACAGTTTTCCTTCTTAAGGAAAAAAGGAAAAACTATGTTTGGAAGCTTATCATTAGGCAAACCGATAGTCGGTAAATAAAAATAGACTTTTAAACCCAACCCCTTTTGATTTTGCAGATTTTTTTTATATTTTTTTACCCCACTTAAAATAAAAGAATATTTCCAATTTTTTTTATCAAACTATAGAAGCATCGAACCCGCAGCTGAGTGGGTC